ATGGAGGCTGAAAGCGAATGCCACACTTCTTTGCAACATACGTCATCCCAGATCATGCTACTGGCTGAACAATATGAAACCATTCAGAGTTGTGCTAGGTGGACGCTTCAATGTTCACTGCAAAAGAGAAGAGAAAACATGAATGAAACTGATGCTGCCCTTTATTTTAGAAATAGTTTCTGATCAGAAGTGCACTTAACTCTCTCGGTAAGTCTCAATGACTTCAATGGGACTTGAATTTCTGCTTAAATCTTTTGCTGAATCAATGTCTTTGGGAGGTATAATGACACTCAACTTCATTTCAGGATTTGTTAGATCTACTTCTGAGGTTGGGTTGTTGGGCTGAGGTATACATTTTACAGTTTTTATGCTACAGGCGGCATAAGAGTACCACACAGCCAAATGGAGACCCAAGCATTCTTTAACTTAAACAATGGAATACATATACAATGTATCTGTGTTAGATTGTTTCATACACAATATTCTGCCACAAATTACAACCACTGATCTGTAAAAGCTCATAGTTATTTAACGATTTAAAAACTTTTTTTCACCAACTATTTTAATTTCTTACTATTTGTGACCAAGGCACAATTTTTAAATTAAGGGAAGAAAGAGACAACTTATCTGCTTTGAGACTAAAACATAATGTTGGTGTATGTTTATTTGTATGGATTTGAAATAAATCTTTGGTAAATAAATGTAGAACAGTCAGAAAACTGAAAGTACAGTGAAACTCTTTCTGAGAAATAAAAGCATGACCACGTATCTGTAAAATCAAACAATCACAAAGGAGGAATTTTATGGTATATATTTTATTGTGGGAAAAAAATAAAATTGATAGCCACAGTTCAGACTGTCCTAGTTCTTCAATAAATTCTTTTGTCTTCCTTTCTGTCCCAAAACCAGGGACATCATCAGTGTTCTCTATTCCACATATTTAACAAGAGTTTTGAACACAAAACTCCAACACCCATGAAACTGAGTTCCCAGGATTTTTTTATTTTGTATTTCCAGAATAGATTAGATTCTCCTCTTAAAAAACCTGCCAACATTTTGAGGGTCATAGCTACATAGCAGATTATAAATAATTCATGGAGGAGAGGAAAACTCAGAGATGGGGAACAAAAATTCAACAGAGGCAGCAGAAGACTTCTATATGAGAAGAGACTGAAAAGACTGGGACTGTTTAGCGCAGGGGTGGGGAACCTCGAGTCCGTGGGCCGGATCCAGCCCCTGAGGCTCAGGGCTTTCCCCCAACATTGGGAAGTTTGTGCTGGCACTATAGGGCCCCTCCCCGCAGGACTACACTACACTAAATCTACCAGCCTGATCTCCCCTAGGCTCTGGTGTACTAGGGAAATGTCTTTCTACTTCTCAGTCAGGGGCCACGCAAGTGAAGGAGGGTTTTTGTTTGTTTCTCACTTGTGCACGGCCGCTGGCCCAAAGAAGGTTCCCCACCCTTGGTTTAGAGAGAAGGCACTAACTCCATTGGTTCTCCAGAGCTGGAGCACCTACGGAAAAAAATTAGCAGCAAACAAGCTCTCCTCCTCCCCACAGCACCTCCCATCCACTCGTGGCCCTGCTGATCAACTCCTCTCCTTCCCTCCCAGCACTTCCTGCACACCAACTGAAGTATAAAAATAATCAATGCTAGATGGAGCAAATGTATTGGGCCCACTTATTTACCTTTTCTCATAATACAAAAACAAAGAAACTCCATTAAATTGAATGGTGGAAAATCTTAAAGTGGAAAATTAAAATGTTTCTTTTACACTTGCAGAATTTATTGCTACAAGATATTCAAAGAGGTTAAGAACTTAGTAGGTCTTAAAATGAGTAGATGTGTATATGAATAACAAGAACAGCCACATTTACATTGGATGACATATTTTTTAATTCAGAAGGGATATAAACATTCGGCTTGGGTGAGGCCACAACTGGAGTATTGTGTCCAGTTCTGGGCCCGCCACTACAAAAAGAATGTGGACGCATTGGAGAGGGTCCAACGGAGGGCAACCAAAATGATTAGGGGGCTGGAGCATATGACTTATGAGGAAAGGCTGAGGGAGTTGGGTCTGTTTAGTCTGCAGAAGCGAAGAGTGAGAGGGGATTTGATAGCAGCCTTCAACTTCCTGAAGGGTGGTTCCAAAGAGGATGGAGAGAGGCTGTTCTCAGTACTGACAGATGGCAGAACAAGGAGCAATGGTCTCAAGTTGTGGTGGGAGAGGTCCAGGTTGGATATTAGGAAAAACTATATCACTAGGAGGGTGGTGAAGCACTGGAATGGGTTACCTAGGGAAGTAGTGGAGTCTCCATCCCTAGAGGTGTTTAAGTCTCGGCTTGACAAAGCTCTGGCCGGGTTGATTTAGTGGGATTGGTCCTGCCTAGAGCAGGGGGCTGGACTTGACATTCTGAGGTCTCTTCCAGCTCTATGATAAACCCTCATGCATCTGGGCATAAGACAGCCACTACCTGAGTGAAGTTGGGAAGGAACATCTCTTATAAGAGGTTATTCCATAATTACCCACGACAACATTTATTTTTAAGTCACTTTGCCTCACGGTTCCTGTTTCCCCATTTGTAAAATGGAGATAGTGAAATTGACCTTGGTTGTAAAGTGCTTCAAAATACACACCATTCCTTGTTTTTCCTTTGAAGCATTTGCGATTGGCTTTTGTCAAATACAGGCTACCAGACTACATGGTTTGTCAGTCAGATTTGGAAGTTCCTCTGTCCGTAAGCTGCCCTACTGGCTGATGGTGAACTCTTCCAAATGCTTTCCCATGCATGAGTATCCAACTACAGTCACAGTTCCCATTTCCATTGAGTAGAATACTAATGAGGACTCAAAGATCAAACAAATCTCTGGTGCAGATCACACTCCTATCATAGAATACAACCTAACAGATGCAGATTCTACTTCCCTTTTAGTTTAAAAACTGTGAAAAGATGCTAAGCCCCTGGCCCATCTCCTTTCCCAGCCATCCCTATAGATTACAAAAGCTCAACACAAGAAAGGTGGAAAACCAAGGTGGATTCAAAAAAACCAATACAGTAAGAAAGAAAACACCAGGCCACTCTGGCATTTACATTCTACTGTGGAGAAGGCTGAATTTAAAGGTGAATCATCATTCCTCATGAAAATTACATGGGAAGATTTCTAATTTAAGTAATATTTTCAAAATTTGCCACAAGAATTACTTACCATACTTTTTTATAATTATTCTGTTCTGGATAGAAAAGTTCAAGTTAGCATATTTGTTATTTCACCATTTGTTGCTCAAAAGTGAACTATTTTTTCTAAGTATGAATGACTACTATAAGCTTTTGAAGAACTGAAATCACCAATAGAACACATGGCTGTCTTTAAGATGGCAAAAAAAACAAAACAAAACCAAAGTTTTGTAAGAAATCCATGGTCATTCAGATCTTCATGGTGACACCAGGGATACAACTCACATATTATAAGAGTTCTCTGCTACTAGAGCTAATAGTGAAGTACTGTCCACTGTTAAAAAGGACACTGCAAATGTGAAATCAAGTCTAAATTAATAATTGCAGTCTTAGGTACTACACCTGTCTCTGAATCCTCCTTTCATTTTGTGGTTTTACAAACATTTTCCAATTTAATTTGTTTTCCTTACTGGATCCACAATACCAGTGGGGAAAACTGATTAAGGATCTGATTCTGTAAACACTTCTGCATAGCTGTGTCTACATTGGCCGCGAGTACTTGCGCAAGAACACTGACATTCTAATGTATAAAATCAGTGCTTCTTGCGCAAATACTTTGACGCTCCCGCTCAAGGATAAGCCCTCTTGTGCAACTGTTCTTGCGCAAGAGGCCAGTGTAGACAGGCAACGTTAATTTCTTGCACAAGAAAGCCCAATGGCTAAAATGGCCATCGGAGCTTTCTTGCGCAAGAGCGTCTACACTGGCATGGATGCTTTTGCGCAAAAGCACATCTCTTGCGCAAAGGCACATGCCAGTGTAGACGCTCTCTTGCGCAAATACTTTAATGCAAAAACTCTTGCGTTAAAAGTATTTGCGCAAAATCATGCCAGTGTAGACGTAGCCCATGTGTTAGATTTAAACATAGGAGTAGGTCCAACTGAGAGAACAGGACTACTCAAATGGTCTCTAGAGTCCTAATCTTACAATCAGATTTGCCCAGGAGCATCCTTCTGCAGAATCATGGCCTAAGTAGGGAAACAATGAAATTGATCCCTCAACTAGATTCTAATAAAACTCCCATCATCTGAAGAAGTGGGCTGTGCCCATGAAAGATTATACCACCATCCACGTTTTGTTAGTCTATAAAGTGATACCCGACCATTTGTTGTTGGATTCTAAGGGTATGTCTACACATCAAAGTTATTTCAGCTACCCCACGTCTTTTGAATATGCTGGCTATTCCGAAATATAGTGGATGTGCTATTTCACCATTCCCTTAAACCTCATTGTAGGAGGAGTACGGGATGGCTAGAAATAGCACTTGATTTCATTAAATACTATATTTCTAAATAGACTTTAAATAAGTTACACAATTTGTGTAGTGCAAATTGTGTATCTTATTTTGAGTTTATGGCATTGTATAGATGCACTGTAAAAGGTAAAAAAAGTTGAAAAATAGACAAAAACCTTTTTTTCCTCTATTTTCTTTCAGTTTTAATAATTTTAAGTTTACTTGTAATGTAGCTATAGAAGAATACGTAAGAAGATTTCAAGATATAAATATTTTTAAGTTGAGGGTATTTCTTTAACAACATAAAATTATATTTAACCCTGCATTATTGTCATGGTTATTCCATGATATATGAAATTAGTTGAATTACACAGAATGTAAATAAAAGATTAAAAATTACTCTACCAGGTTTTTTAAGCAAATAAAAAGCCTAAGAGACAGAGCAGTGCGCAGGAAGTAGGGGAAGAGGCTAGGAAGGGGAGGAGGCGGGCTGCAGGGGAGCTCTAGTCCCAGGGCAGGGCGGTGAGCAGCCCCAGGGAGGAGGAAGCAGGCAGGTTAGGGGAAGAGAGGGGAGCTATAGCCCTGGGGGCAGGGAGCTATAGCCGGGGGGAAGGGGAAGGAGACAGGCGGGGGGAGCTGCAGCAGGGCAGGGCGGTGAGCAGCCCCAGGGAGGAGGAAGCAGGCAGGTTAGGGGAAGAGAGGGGAGCTATAGCCCTGGGGGCAGGGAGCTATAGCCGGGGGGAAGGGGAAGGAGACAGGCGGGGTAAGCTGTAGCACTAGGAGTGTAAGGG